TTTTGTTGACAAAATCTGAGCGGACACTTTAATATTTCCTGTTCTTTCAGCGGATTTATTTTAAAAAAAGATACTAAACTTTTTAGTTCCACAACACACAGCTGAAACACGACTGCTTGCCATGCGTTCAATGACTCTTGATCTTTTCCCAGCGCTTCAAGTCTGCTAGTTGTTTTTCCTGTATATTATTAAGTTAGCGACTATCCACCGATCGCAAAGGGAGAACAGAGACTCCAAAGCGAACCGCGATAATACGCTTGGCACTCTTGCAATGCAAAGATAACAATTAACGTAAAACGTTAACCTCAACATAGATTGCGATGCATGGACGAAATTCCTTAAGTGCTGAGACCATGTCGAACTTGTGAAAGCTGGTTTTTGTAACTCAAAAAAAAAAAAAAACGCGCGGTAACAGCGCGCGGTTAGATCTTGACACGAGTATCATGGCATTTGTGCAATATATACTGAAGATAGTACACGACTTTTGATTGTAATCTGTGGAAATATTTTGACTGTTAATCTTTTCGAGTGCTTTAACAACTTCACCAAGTCGGGGGCCGAATATCGTAAAACTCTTAAACGAACTTTCAGGCCATCAGTGCAACAGTGTTGGTCCTTGAGAGATAAAAGAACACAAACGTAAACTCAATCTTGATTATCAGCTATTAGACCAAGACTGAAAATGACTTCCTAGCCGACGCTGTGGTACCCTTCCTTAATTAAACTTCTCAAAAATAACAGTTCATGATATCAGTCTTAGTACCTGTGTACATGCAGCAAAAAATCTCCTCTCAGAGGCCTTTAGTAAAGACGCCGTGACTGGCAGAATGAGACACAAACGCAAAAAAAAAAACAGTTAGAGGCTCTCGAATGCACTAGTTAAATAAATTGTATCCATTGTTTTGTCTCAAATTCATCACGGCAGACTTTTCTCTCGCCAAGAAAAAAAATAATTCATCTCTGAAGACACCGCGACTCGCAAATTTAGACAAAACTGAGAAAGGTAAGAGATTTGTTAAACTAGTGAAATGAGTTTAATTCATTCCTTTGTCTCAGATTTTAAGAGGAAGATTTCTTTTCGATGGAATGACGTGCGGAGTCTAAACTGAAGTTTAACAGACTCTGTCTTGTTTTCAAACTGATATTCTCTGAATATCACTCAGACTTCGTATATGAGGTGAAAATTGTATACGTGTATTACAGCAAAATTCCATAAACTCACGGACAAAAGAAGTCATAAAGTTGAATATTAAGATCGGCCGGCCTGGCTGAAAATGTTAATCGTCCAATATGGAGCATTTCTCCCGGTATACACTGATAACAAACCAAAACCTTGTCCCACTTCAAATTCCCGAAACATTCTAAGGCTCAAATTACAAACCTGGTACAAAGCACGTGAAGGAGGAGATGTGACGACGTCAAAGACTATAACACGTGACACTCCCGTGTTCCTTAACCCTTTAACCCCTTAGAGTGACCAGCATCTAATTTCTCCTTTCAGTATCACCCTTGAATCAAACATTAAGGTAAGGAGAATAATGGAAATGATCAACAAGTACAGGAGCTCTTGATTGTTAAGTGAAATCTCCTTATCAGCACCTTTGGAAATGTATAGGAAACAGTATGGTGAATATGCTTACTGATGTTCGGGTGTACAGGGTTAACGCAAACTTGTGAGGAAGTTCGTTTCTATTTCCTCAATCTTACAATTTGTCATTTTAACTATGAAAATATGTCTGTCTCATAACATTCCTGGTTACAACTGTATCAGCCTATCTATACTCTCTTGTTATGGCCATTTAATGCAATAACTGGCTCATGAACTTTCGAGACATATGAAAAATATGAAAATTATTTCAAATATTCTCTGCTGGAGCATATGCTCTGATCCATGGAAATATCAGCCACAGAAGAAAGGTGAGTATGTGACCATGCTCACTATTCCATTAACACTTATAATACCGAAGTTCAAGAGCACTCTAATATGTTTGAACTCGAGAGGTGCGTGGATTTACCACAACTGTCAACTAAGCAATCAGCTAACTTAAGCTACGCCTTCAGACATTCAAAATTCCTCACAGATCAAAAAATCCTGACGATGTATTCTGTTGATTTAAGATGAAGAAAAGTGGTTGGAGATAGAAAAGATTGTAACTGTTGAAAACAAAAAATGGAAAAATAGGGCGGATGCCGGACCAATAAGAATGGCCAGAATGGCTGCTTCTTAAATCTCATCAGAATTTTGAATTAAATTCCTGAGCTTCTTTTTGAGTTATTTTTAGCAGTTAAGTGTGATATCTCAATGACTAAACCTTCGGTTCACCCTAAATCTCCCTGTAATGATTAACAAGTAATTTTCAATATCACTTATAAACTAGAAAATGCTATTTTTCTAATTCCATATTGGAAATGCATAGTAGCCGGATAAGAGAGTTATTTTTCCGATCGCACGGCTGAATGGCTAAAATCGTTGTATACAGTTAGTAGTTTGAACCCAGAATTACCAGTTGATAATGTGGTCTTAATATTTGGGCGAGAGAAGCCCTGAAAAGGAATGTTGTCTGCAAGTGCTGTGACGTAAAAGATTGGAAGTGCTGTAAAGTAGAAGATTGGAAGATAAGAACTAAAATCCGTTCTAAAGGAAGTGGTGCCGAGGATGAAAATTACTGAGGAAAAAATAATGTATTAAAAATAGCCAAATTGCAGGGTAAATGTTTTCTTTGACGTAAACATAAGTATAATTGGAAGCTTGAAAGATTAGTCAACACTTTTGTACTGAATCTAATATCGGCCACACCCGATATTACACACAAACCAAATAAGGAGATGTTTACTTCGTAATACATGATACATTTGTTTACTCTGATGGATATTTTCTGTTTGAATTTCGTGCAATTTGATATTATCTGATAAAGCCTAAGTATACGTGTTACATGAAGCCTTTTGGACCAAAGTGTTAGAACAGCAATTCATAGGGATATTCTCGGTTAACTTTGGATTAAACAGCTTTGCAGTCTTTAACCCTTTAACTCCCAGATCAAATTTGTCATTCTCCTTACTGTCAGCCATAAAATTCTTATAATGTTAGTTCAGAGAATTTAGTATTGGATCAACTAATTCAGTAGCCCCAAATTGATATTTTTCTTTATTCTCATCACTCATCTAATTGATGTTGTATTGATATTGTAAGGAAAAATTCTGTCTTGGTCACTCACGGGAGTTAAAGGGTTAACTTAGAGGAAACGGTGTTACTAGGACAAGTAATAGTAATCTTTACATTCTGAGACGACCTTCACAGCCATTGAAATATTTCAGTGCAAGTTATCAACGAAAACAACGAATTATTCCTCGAGTTTTTATTGCCCTCTGGTAAAACAAAAAAGTTGCACAGTGTTTGTTATCGAACGTGATTGAACCTCGTGAATTTCGCAATTAAAGAGCTATTAGAGTGCTTTCGTGTCGGTATCTTATTTTTTTGCTACAACGCAATTTGCGCAAAAATGCGTCTGCTGATGTTGACTGCCACAGCCCCTTTCCCTCTAAAATAGCGCAGATATGCGCTTGTAAACCCTCAGTTTCACCCTTGAAACAATGATCGTTTTTTTAGTCTCGTATTAACATCCCAGGGCCTCTACTATCAATATGGGAAAACTTTTCTGCTCGATATGAAGAGATCTTCAGGAGAGAGAAGACTGGAATGGTGAGAGACGGTGAAGACACCAGTGTTTTGTGCCCTTGAATGCCCACAAACAAAAAGCAGTTAGAGCCTTGACCTCACCCCCCTTCCGGTTAAAGGTCAGTTCCAACTTTCACTCCAGCCCTCTACACTTACAACATCTTAAGACAAAAGTAAGTGGTAAGTTAGCCAGCGGTGATCAGCGCAACATTAAAAACAGCTCCTGGGTTATTTTTGCCTCGTAAGCTTGTCAGTGGTTAAGTCATTAAATTTTAGCGCTTTGAATGAGCCTCCTAAGAAGGAACCTTTCATCATGACATGGCTAAGCCGCGCGAAACGAGCCGATTTGCCAATTTTGTCCCAAGGAGTTAAATCAATCCCTGAGAAGAAACCTTTTCCTGACATACAAGCAGACGAATGGGCGCGGCGCCACGGGCGGCTTGTATGACAAAGCTGATAGAGACGAGCCGGCTACGCAAGCCCCCCGCCGGCTCGGTTGGCTAACTTTCTCGGCTCCGCCGCTCGATGTTTCAGACAGGACCTAAAACCGCCAAGAACCAAGACTTTGGTTCACTTGACCACTGGAATGTTTGTCTCTTACTCCTTTACCGCTCGAGCAAATTTTTGCGTAACTCATCCATGCCGCTGGAGACAATCCCTGATTTTCATGAGAATGAAATGAAAACAGAAAACAGCTAGTACCTCTACATGTGTACTTCTTTATTGCGAGAGAATCTACTGAAATCAGATTACAGGCTAATGTCCTTCAATTTCAAACCTTGCACAAAATCAAACAGTGGTGTGTCGTTTTCTGTCATATTCCACAAACGGTCAATAAGAACAAATAAACGAAAGAGCTTGATAATACCAACTCGATTAAACACCAAATTACTTGACTGATTAACTTAGAAATAGATAAGAGTTAGAAGGGAGAGGTGCGAAACAGATCTTGAGGGGGAGAAAGCTGAAGGATCGGAAGGCTTTCAAGCTGTTTAAAATATATATATGTTTGTCACAAATACGAATCCCCTCTGTATTAGCCACAGATCAGTGCCAATATCACGTTACAAACAAACAAAAAATGAATCGCTAAAAGTTATATTATCGATGTGTGTAAAGGGGGTAAGTTTCTAGGCAAACTGTGGTGGTGCGTCAGTGGGAGAGTATAACAGGGTAATTTAGTATTATCAACTGAGTTGATAACGTGATTTGGCGACCGTTAGGAGTGTAAAAGCCAACGCTTTCGAGCGTTAGCCCTTCGTCAGAGCGACGAAGGGCTAACGCTCGAAACGTCAGCCTTTAAACTCTTTACGGTGACCAATTTACGTTATCTGCTCAGTCAGTAATACTTAATTACCCTATTAATGTGTGTAGTCAGTTTTGCTCACAACAAAAGACAGAATTCTATTTTTATGAGCATGTATCACAAAGAGACCCGATATCCCTCGGGATCGATGTTATGTGTATCCTCTAGGACCCGCAATCTTTCGTTGAGTTTGGCTTTAGCGGGAATCGCGTCCTTTTTCAGCTTTATTTGAGAGACAAAATCTGAAACAGAGACAAATTTCATCCATTAAAGGTTATTGATGAAAAGCATCGCTTAAAATTGGCATTTCACGGGATTTGACACACCGTTTGAATTTTATGAATTTATCGGCGCGAAATTAATAGCCGAATGCATAGTTATACGCAATGTTACGCCGTTATTCACACTTGTCTCAAATAGAGACGCCTCGAGACAGGGTTAGATTCACTTCTACTATAGTAACTGCGCATGTGCGTGAGAAAGCCGTGTGAGTTGCACCGGATTACAATCGCCTTGTTTACGACATGCGTTCATAAAAAAGGCGTCTACTCTGTAGTCATTATTTGGCCTGTTACCTCAAGCTTTGAAGCGTTTCCTTGACCAATTCGAAACACAAATACATGTAGACGCAAACTTACCATGTGTTGAAATATCAGATTGAAGATAATCGTCGAGAGTTCCCCAATTGTCAATAAATCGCTTAATAAGGAAGTACTGATTCAGTGGAGTTCCCAGAAAGCTTTGCACGCTTTTAATCGAAGGTTTCTTTAAAATTTCCGTCTGATGTATTATCTTGTCGAGCTCTTTCAAGTAATCTTCTTTTTTTGCGACGAATGCATCCAATTCCGGCAGTAACTTCTCTTCGAGTCTTAAAAGTTCACTGAAAGCGTTTTCTTGAACAGGAGGCTGGAAATCCTGCGCCTGCACTGTTTCTTGTAGCCAAAATAATCCTAGGAACAAGATCATAAAATTTATCATCATAGTCAAACTTATTGTACGTAACTTAATTTGAAGTAATCGACTCAGACTTCGAGCTACATGTAGTAACTCTCAATATCAACAACTATAGAAATATTTCATCAATAATGTATAACATGTTGCTTGTGCTTTCATTTTTTTCTTGAAAACAACCTGCAGAAGACAAAATTAAGCCTTCACTGGACAGTGATATGTAATCTAGTTTTTTTTCTTTCTGGTTCCTCATTGAAAAGTTTAACTTTTGAGTTCAAGTTATCTTTCTCTTGCTGTCAGTGAAAGAAACGAGCACAGAAGCAGAAGCGAAGAAGTCCAGAGGTTTAACGAAATTTTAAGGCCCACGGTATCGATGTTTTCTTGAAGATTGTAATTAATTTCAGATAAAATGACTTAAGATAAATATGAATTTCGTAAGCCGATTATCTTGCGGAAAAGGAAAATTAATTCACATTCCTTATCTATGATCTTTTTTCTGGTCACTAATAAATGTTTTAGCATCATCAGGTTACGAGAAGACCGAAAATACTCCAAAAATACTACAAAACAAGTAGTGGCTAGGGTGGGGTAAGGAGTTGTTTGGCCCTGTTTCAGTTCTTCAAGACGAGGCTATTGTACATGCGCTTTACAGACAAAGCACCATGGCGGGGACTTCATGATCAGGAGATGAAGACTGTTTTTTCAACAAAAGCAGTTCTGTTTCACCAGGTATGGACGAATTTACCCTCCAGAAACGTTTGGTCATAAATAATAGTGCGTCCCTACGTCTCTTTCTACTTTCTTGTTCCGCTTATGTCCGTGATAAAATGTAGTCTTATTTATCAATGCTCAAGCAATCACTTTGGCCGGTACGCCATACGGTGTATGTCTGGTAAACTTAGTTCGTTTTATGTCAGCTGACCCAAACATTTCATGAAAAATAATGAAGTGCGAATGTTTGCCGGTGATTTCTTTTATAAAAGTTGAATTTTCCGATCGCCTTTTGTTTGCAGAAAATATTTGTGTAGTTCATTTGAAATTGCAAGTCGATTCTGTTTTTGTCAGATCAGATCAAGTTGAATCGTGCTGTCGAAAGGATCGATGAATAAGATTTGTTTCACTACATTTGGTTTATTACCCTTTTGAGAAACGTGCTCTCTTTTCTAGTGATGCTGGTAAAGATCGGAAGGAATTATGACGACAAACTTTACCTAGATCATGAAGGATACCACTTGTTTGCTCACCGCATGTTTGGGTCGTAGTTTTGAATGTCGAATTTATTGTTACTTTTTTCGATACATACGGTCTTTTGACCTTAAGGACAATACAAAAACCCTGTAACGACTCGTAAAGTTAGTTAAAATCGGCATTCAAAAAAAAATATTGTGAAGGATTCCTTCAGTTGGTTTTAGTCGTGTTTACCATGTACAATTTCGATTTTCTTCAGTATGCCATTCTCACTAAATAGTAAATAAATTAATTAAATGAAAAATTAAAAACTGAATTTAGTGATAATTAATTAAGTTCTTCTTGTCTGGTTTTATCAGGAATAGGAATAAACACTTTTAGGAACTTTGTCCAAAAAGATGGCTTCCTTAGCAGGATTTCAGTACACTCCGGAGAACATGCAAAGGCTGGAAAAGGTGACATAAACTTGATCTTTTTTTCAAATGTGAAGTCAAAATTGTAGATAGGTTTTCAAATTTTTTGGCCTGTTTATGGACAAAGAAATTGTCATGGTTTGATATCAGTTAATATTAAATTTTAAAAGCAAGCTTCATTAAAAAATTGAATTTACCTGCACCTTTGTCTCTAGGACCTTTGACAGACAAAATCTGTTTTATTTTTACTGTACCTTAATTGATTAAATTAAAGCAACACAACTCTTTCATTCTCAGGCATTGCAAACTATGCAAGATAGAGGAATGGAGTCAGATCCACGCTATGCGCAGTTGATGTCATTGCTTAGAGCAAAACCTACATCTGTTGACATGTCAGATGCTGGCCATGGCCTTCAACTTCCTCCTCCTTCAATGCCGATGGGTATAGGAAATATACCACCAGGGACTGGAATGGGAGGAGACATGCAAACAAGAAGTTCTCCAGCTCCAAATTTAATGTCTCAAGCCTCGCAGAAAGCTCATGGTTTCTCTTCTCCACAGTTGTTACAGCTCAGAGCACAGATCATGGCTTACAAACTCTTAGCTCGTAATCAGCCTCTTCCTGAACACATACGTATTGCCATTCAAGGCAAGTCACCGTCTGTTAAACCAGCAGGGTCAAGTATGCCCAGTAGTACAGTTCCACCTCAGTCAAGTCAGTTACCTTCTAGGACTCAGAATCAACCTGGAAATCAGTCAGCACCTCAAAGTCAGGCAAATATTGGTGCTGGAAGCTCTACAACATCTCCTGCTGGTCCTGTGCCTAATCAGACAGCTTATAATGTCCCTGGAATGACAGCTGGTAGGGTGCCATCTCAATTAAATTAATTGCAATTAATTTTGTTCTTTGACAAAAGGATGAATCTTTGAAATATAAATAAGGTGAGTTTCAATTCCTCATTGGGACTCAAGTTTCCTTAATCATATGCTTGCACCTACTGCAAGAAATCTATCTTCTGCCACTAAGCTGAAAATTTATTGCCTTCAATGCTCTGCATTTCTTTCTGTTCAGGATGTCTTTAAGTTTTCTAAGCCTGTAGCATTCTAAAGAACACTTGTCAGACATGAATCTATCATAAAGACATGCAGGGATGGGTGTTCATCAGGCATCAGTGATTCATTGTCCAGAGCTGTCTTCTATTTAGACCTGAAGAAAATGTGTTTTGAATTCTCTTGTTACTTTACACTTTCACTTCTTAACCCTTCCACTCCCAGGATCTTATGAGTAACTCTTGTAATATTAGTTTGGAGAATTTGGTATAGGATTAACTAATTATCCCTTGTATCCCCTTATTATCCCCTGATTGATATTTTTCTTTATTCATATCACTTTTCTGCTTGGTTTTTTATTTACATTGTACTGAGAAATTCTGTCTTGGTCACTCATTGAAGTTTAAGGGTTATTGAAGACTATCTACTCAGCCTAGTACAGGGTCTGGCTTGTCCATTCTCTGATGTGGCTGAGTTGGTTTAGTTGGTTGAGTATCAGAATTGGCTTGAATCAGGTTTGAATCATAATTCACTGAAACTCAACATTAGTTAATGACAATTTTATCTTCTTTAACCAGCTCAACAGCTACAGAGCAAACAAGCGGTAGGAACCAGCCAATCAACAACACCTGCATCATGGGAGGCAGCCAAAGGTGCAGCTGCCAGTGCTATTGCAGCAGCAACTCAGCAGCATAAACTCAAAGAACAGCAACGGCAAGCACTCGCACAGCAACAGCAACAGCAGCAGCAACAACAACAGCAGCAGCAGCAGCGCAAGGCACAGACCCCAGGAACATCTCAAGGAGGGATACAGATGCCTAGTAAGCCTCGCTTGGCACCAGTGGCTAAACCTGTTGGACTTGATCCTGTTACTATCCTGAAAGAAAGAGAAAACAGGTATGACTGCTCCCAGCTCTTGTATTAACTGATTTGGAGTTGAAGTTGGAGCCATCAGAGGGTTCAGCTAACTACTTAAGGCATTGACTCTGATGAGGCTAAGGTGTTCAGTCAAGATTGACAGTATGATTGGTAACAAAGCCAGGTTTCTACATGCATTAACTTACACCCTTTTCCTCATACATGTAATCTAAAAGAAAACCTAATGGGTAAAGAATAATACTGATATTACATTACATGTATATAGTTTAAGCCCT